CTCTCTCTTTGAAATAACAATAAGTTGAACATCTATAATTCAACAAAAAACACCCAACCAGCACACAAGCACGTCTGAGTGAGGGATCCGTGATAAGAGCTACCACAGGTCAGAACACTGGGAGTCCGGTGGTAGACTGGGAGAAACAAGCTGTCTGTCATACATGGAGCTTCCTGCAGGAGAAGTGGGAGGGGAGAAGGTACAGTGAGTGCCCTGAACAGCCATGCCTGAGAGAGCTGTGAGCTCCACGCAGCGGCAGTGCCCAGGGATCAGGGCAGAAATCAGAGAGGTGGGAATGGCAAAGAAGCAACAGTTGATTATTATCAGCCAGGGTAGCAAAACACAAGGCTGAGCTGCAGCCCCCAAGCCCCTGTGCAGAGGGCCACTCCCCCATATCCTCCAAGACAGAACAACATGGACCCAGGGGAATCTGAGCAAATGCTTCCGAAACTGTTGCTAACACTGACAGGGACTGAGACTGAGAGTAGCAAGCATGATTGAATATATGGGGGGGAAAAAAGGGCATTTTTAACTTTATGTAAAGCAGAGATCCAAGAGGCTGGAAACAAAAAGAAAAATGTCTTCTTTACAACAGGCTAAAGAGAGAAGATATATGTATAATATATCTTCTTCCAGAAAAGGCAAAATATACTTCCATTAATGCTCAGGCAGAAAAATAGTCCATTAAACACCATGAACAAACAAGGTGACGAGGCATCTCAGAAAGAAAGAGATACTGAGGGACACTTCATAATGAAGGGAATCATAAACCAAGAAGAAATAACACTTATTAATAACTATGATCCCAATCAGGGGGCCCCAAAATATATAAAACAATTACTAACAGAACTAAAGAGAGAAACAGACCAAAACACTATTGTAGTGGGGGACTTAAATACCACACTGTCAGATATGAACAGATCATTCAAACAGAAAATCCATAAGGTAATAACATCCTTAAATGACACATTAGACCATCTGGACATAATTGACATTTACAGAGCCTTTCATCTCAAAACAACTGCTTATACATTCGTCTCTAATGCACGCAGGATATTCTGAAGAATTTACCTAATGCTGGGACATGGAGATAGCCTCAACAAATATAAGAGGGTTGAAATCATACCAACCATATTCTCTGATCATAATGCTTTGAAACTAGAGATCAACTGCAAAAAGCAAGCAGGAAGTACCACAAATACATGGAAATTAAACAACATACTACTGAAGAATAACTGGGTCAGAGAAGGAATAAAAAGAGAAATGGAGAGATGCATAGAAATGAATGATAATGATGGTACAACATATCAGAACTTTTGGGACATGGCAAAAGGGGCAATCAGAGAATAGTTCATATCATTCTAGGTCTATCTCAAAAAAACAAGAACAAGCTCAAATAAACAAACTAATAAACTAATGCTTCATCTTAAAAAATTAGAAAAAGAATAATAGATAAAGCTTAAAATCAGTAGAAGGAAAGAAATAATCAAAATTAGAACATAATTAAATTAAATTATAAACAAAAGAAATGAAAGAAACAAATAAATAAAACAAAGAGCTGGTCTTTGAGAAGTTTAATAAAATTGACAAAGCACTGGCTAGATTCACTAAAGAAAAAGGAGAAAGGACACAAATAAACAAAATCAGGAATAAGAGAGAGGAAATTATGACCGACATTGCAGAAATACAAAGGCTCAAGAAAGAATACAATGAAAAAAGATATAAAATTTAATAACCTAGAAGAAATGGACTAGTACTTAGAAAAATACAGTCTTC